TCCTTAACTCACAAATGGCAACATAAAAACTACCAATGGGTACTTCAGAGTTGAGCCATGTAAAAAAAAAAAACATACAAGGGACAAGCACTGACTGCAAGGCGCCCTGTTATACCAGTCCCAGACCCTTGTAGAGAAATTAGGAGATATCCGAATTACAATTTGCTGTAGCCATGGCAACAAAGCCTAAAGCAGTTTAAAAATGAATGAATACTATATTGTAGGGCTGGGCAATGGAGAATTTGTGGATACAAGGTCAGGACAATGTCTTCTGGCCTCTGCAGTTTAGCAGAGTTGTGTATAAAGGGCAGATAAAATAAGGCATGTCATAATCTGTAGAACATTGTCTATAATTGTTCAAGATGGAGATCAAAAATGTAGTTGAATTTTGAAAAATCAAGATTTTTCCAAATTTGGTGACTTTTTGTTGAGATTTTATTTATGGCAAAAACAACTTTTGCCAGTAACAATCAACCAATCACTCAAATAATTGTTGAACAGATTTGCATGCAACACAAACCTAAAGGGCTGATTAAAGTGCGAAGAGAAGGTGACCCGGGTTATATGGATGCTTAAAAAAATAATGTGGCTCAGTGGGAATGAGCCTTATAAAGAACTTTATAAACTTTATAAAAAGCTTTGCTTTTAAAAAATGCAATGGTGTAAAAAAAAAAAAAAAAAAAAAAGTACTACACTTTATAAAATCAGAGTCTGACATAAAATACCCTTGTGTTGAAACTAGGTCAACAACCAGTCCTGTTTAAGAGCCACTTGATTGACGGCTTCACTCAGGGATGAGTGTACCCAGACAAAGACGTGACAGCATCAGGTCTGTGTCTGCAACGGCTGGAGCTGCGGTCGTGCTCTTTGTTTTTTTACGTGACTCGCGGCACTTACTCCGCCGCACCGGTTTCCTTTCGAATTAAGACGCACGAAACGGAAAAGCCACAGCTCTTTTCCACTTGCCCTGGAGATTATTCCCCCATGGGACAAAAGCATCCGTGGCTCGTGGCAACAAAAACGCAAATCCTTACAACCAGTCTAACTCAGTGCAAGGTAAAAAGTCAACAATCGCGTGGTTTGGGAGTTGAAACGTTCTTGGCCAGATCCAACCCCGAGCATCAACGGATTAGAGGCTGACGACCAAAACAAAAAAGTTGGTTCAAATGGGGACGCTGGCTTCTATTATTCCCCTTTATTAATGTCAAGATTTCTTTAAAAGTCGTCCAGCTTTGATCACAATTAACCGCAGTGATAATGACTGTGATTTGTAGAAGAGAAACAAACACGATCTTGGCAGCACATCAGAGGAGGAGGTCGAAAGCGTCGTTGCACGAGGGATTTTTTGTGTGTGTGTGTAGGGTTTTGAAAGACAAACAGAAAACACAGAGATGAGTTATGTGCTGCAGGTGAGGGAGGCGTGGCTACGGGAGGATCTTAAGGCCGTCAAAACAGTGCAGTGACAGACGAGGACTGCGCGAGGGAAACGGCAATGGTGCTGCCGGGACTGTAATTACACGTCCGCAGTGAACAAAGTACAATCAAGTGTCGTGCGGCGCCTGAGGCTTAAGTCATGTTAAGAAGGCAAGAAGACGAATGCTACGCCAGTGGAAAAGTAAATGAATCACTAGAACTGCTAATGCTGGAATGAAAAGATACTTTTCATTTTAATGGGTAATAGTTGAGTTATATTTCATAGGAGGTGTTGGAAAAATGCTCAGATATACTGCTTTATGAGCACTAATGTGGCAATTTATACAACCCTCTGAAAATATGTAAGTAAGGTCTATTTTATTTGTATGCAAAATAATAAACACAAAAGGTTTGGGTGTGCATCAGGACTGTCTTTATTTTCTTTTGCATTTTGACACTTATCCTGGCACTGAGGAGCACCTGAAATCAAAGTAGCACTCCTGGCTTGTTCACAGCTGCTTTTGACCCATTCTTTCAATGCTACTAGAGAAACCTTTTCAGGAACCGTGATCAGCATAGTTTGGACCCATCTCCAGACGCTGACGCTCTTGGTCAGGACTAGAACTGGAGGATTTATGATGCCTGTTTTGGGTGGTGGCGGGGGAAACTGGAGCGCATGGAGGAAACTCCATGGAGGAAACTCCAAGGAGGAAACTCCATGGAGGAAACTCCATGGAGGAAACTCCATGGAGGAAACTCTTGAGAATAACATGCAAACTTTTTAGGTTCATAAATTTATAATAATTTTACACTGTTTGAATAGGAAATCTAAACAAAGAAAAATCAACAGCTCAGATTTATTTTGTCTCAAAAATATTTTGGTACCTGATCCCTGTTGGGAGAACACTGAGCATGAAGTTTATTTTCAAAGTCATTAGTACTCAAGATCTGCAAACCAGTTTCACTATAATCCAACCACATCTTATTCAAAATGCAAATATGCAAGATTCAAGATTTTATTTTCTTTAAAACCGCATTTGAAAAACTACGCCAGACTACCCCACTGTGCACCAGGATAGTACACACCAGAGGTCGTACCATCTAAACAGCACAATGTATCATGTATTTTAAATGACTTAAAATGCTTGTAAAGGAGAGATGACGTAGACAAATCATTTTCCTCAAACAGCAGCAGCTTGTTTAATGACTATTTTGCTCTGAACTTCACCTCCTCGCACATCTCACGTTACCTGTTGCGACTTTAGAGCGACCCCAGACACAATAGAGCGAAGAGGAAAAGCCTGAGGCGGTGAGCATTTTTGCGCGAATACCAAAAGCGCTTCCCTCCTGCTCTGGACTCGGGCCTAAATCACAGTCGACGATGAAGACTGACAGGTCCGGCACGGCGAGCCCACACAACAAGGGACACCCGCGCTGCCGACGGGACCGCGGCCTCCGACATCATTCAACGCGGTAATTGACACAGAGGCTGGGTCCCGGACAGACATTTTTTAAATACCTGAGGGCTATTTACACACCTGCCCAGTGAAAGGAGGGGGCATCGGCTCGGGACGCTCCACAATCGGCCCAATCACGCCACAAGAGACGCACTGACGGACCGCCCGGGGATAACAAGGTCAACACAGTAATGAGTGTCTAAGCCAGAGGTGTCAAAAGGCAAACAAGAGATGGCAGATTTTTAAAAGACAACGACAAAACTAAAAAAACTTTTTCATATTGTCAATCATCTCCCATCCCATAACACACATTGCTCATACGAGTCTATAGACCGTTTTCTAATAACATTGTAATTGTCTCTTTGACAGCAAGTCTTCTGTGTGAAACCCTATTATCTTAGACTATAAGGAGGGTCATTCTGAACCATGGCTATAGACTCTACGGAGGCAAAACATCTGGGCTCACCTGGTCGTTCGATTTGTCAACTATGGGACAACAAAAGCTTTCAAAAATGATTGTACTTCTGTAGCTGAACAACTAGATTTCAACTACGCCAAACAACTAGAGCGTTGCGAATTAAACTTGTCTTTCCGCGTCAAAGCCAGCATGAACACCAAACTTTTAGCTAATTTGCTCCATACCTTCTCAAAGTCATCTTTTTCATGTATTATCGCATCACCAGTTACATAACAGTATGAATGAGGAGCAAAAAAAAAACACTGCAAAAAATTATAAAATATGAGGTATCAAATTCCTTCAATCGAGTGGATTTGAATTATTTTGAATAGATTCCAAGATTTGACAATGGGACAAGCAATTCAGTCTGTTGCTATATTTTGTTATTCCAATTTAATTTTGATTGTCCTATTGACAAACCTTGCTTAAATGAAGATGCAGTTTGCCAAAATTGAGAAACGTTTGACTTATTTTCAATCACTTTTGGCCGAGCGAGATACACAAGATAAATGATTCTTCAGCACAATCTGACCAAATCATGCATTAGTCGCCTTGGTGCGTCATCGACCGATCATCACCAGGGCGACCAAAAACTGACATATCTGCATCTATCTTTACTTTTATTTAAAATTTCCCTGTCGAGGTCATGCCATCGAAAGACAACAGTTGTTTTTGGAACGTGCCGGACTCAGGTAAGCTGCAGTAAGAGGGTGGGTGGGCCTGTGGAGGGAGGGAGGGAGAGGGAGGAGGGGGAAGAAGCGGCAGTGTAATCAGTAGGGCCGTGTAATTACAGGCCACAGACGCGCCGGCGCAGAGTTCACTGTGGGGCTGAAAGGAAGGTCGGCCATTACGCTAATATTCGTATGTCACGCAGCGAATTCCTCTGCGCTACGTCAGCCCTAAACTGTAGAGAGGAGCCACTTAAGACAGGTATCTCAAGCGTGCAACCAGCCCGTCTCGGCTTTGTTTACGGTCCCAGAGAAAGAAAAAAAAAAAGAAAAATAGTTCCACGAGACATAATGATAGTACATAATGGTATTACAGTAGTTAGGTGAGGGTTTGAAGAGACGTAGCCAGAAAGGTATGCGCGAGACGTTTAAATGGGGATGGGTTCTTTGTGCGATTCTAGGTACAGGTAAAGCCAAAAATACTAGCCACAAACATGCAATTTTGTGGGCTATTGTTTGGCAAGAAAATAAATGATATGATAGTTGCATGATTGCAATATACGGGGCGGCACCAGGTTGCGTCAACTTAAATTCAAGATCTTTTTAAGGCTTTTTGAAAGACGGAAAAAGAAAAATGTTCAACAAAACTTGCAGCTATTTCTATTGTGTAACCATATAATCTGGATGTGGAGAAATGAATTGGCCCTATATGCACTTAACAAATGTGTGTGTGTAGGCCTAGTGTGTTATATTTTAAGTAAATGGTAGTATACATAAATGATTTCGATTGGATCTTGAAGAGACAACGCTTCACGCCACTAGCTTCCAAATTGAATTCAGTTTGTGTTAAAACAGATCTTGAACTTGGCTCAACTGGAATAGCTTTGTAATGATATGGACTGAAATCATTATCATTATTATCATTATAGCGACTGATTTGTCAGTCTGACTTCATTCCGCAGGTGAAGTTGCAAAAGAACAGAAATAAATGGGTTCGTGACTGACCTGGTTGATGGCGTTGGCAGAGCAGGAAGCGAGGCCTGTTCCCAGAGACGAGACAAAGAAGAAGAGCGGGTCGAAGGGCACTGGGGCCATTGCGTATCCTGCTGCAGCGGTCATAACCACCAGGGCTGTGGGACAAGCAACAACAACATGTCAATGTGTTGTGTTTGATAGAAAGGTCCTTTTCTGTTCATGTATTAAGTGTTGATACAAATGCAATTGAAATAGGCCCAGTTCTGTATTTCCTTAAAATATGTGAAAAACACTCTTTGAAGTAATTTTGCAGTGGGAAAAATGGGTATTAATAATGAAAATGAATGTACAAAAAACGGAAAGATTTATCTAATGCTGAGGTGTCCAACTAACTAACAACAAACTAACAAAACCCATGTAAATAGTTCCTCGCTCTCAAAACAGTTTCATCAATCATATTTGTAAGTGTTTTTGGCCCTGTCACAACTAAAGATCAACTTTAATAAACAAAAACATGAAAAAGAGGAACATCCTCAGTCAGCCCAAGTTAGATACCCCAGCTTTAGATCACATGTTTATATTTGTGCATGGCTGTGTGGTACTTGGCACTGTACCTGTGAGTTTAATCTTGGCCAGTCGTGCATACACGTCTGGGAGATCGCTCAGTTCCACCTTCAGCTCTTTCCACTGTCTATCGAGGCGTGCCACTTTGGACAGCTCCGTCTCCTGCTGGATGTGTGGCGTTTCGTCTTCATCAGCGGCGGCGTCTGGAGTGACTGCATTACTCTGTGACGCGTTCACAGTGGAGGCTTCGGTGGTCAACTCCTGCTGCTCCAGGCCGATGGTCGGGATCCTTTGCACCTGTCGCTCCACGGTCTCCTCGGCCTCCTCCAGCCCCGTCAGTGATGGCTGCTCTTTTGGGGAAGCACGTTGGCGCAACCCATTTCTGTTCTTTGTGACATACTGACATGAGACAAACAAAAAACATTAATCAGTATTGATTAGTGTGTGCTTACCAATAATAAAGGTAAAACATATAAACAACACGAGTAGCATACATTAAGTACCAATCTGGTTCGTTGTAGTATAATTTACTATGTGATAGATTTAATTAATTATATTCAGTAAAAGCAGTCTTCATTTTAATGTATGAGCAAAAAGAAACTGAATACAACAATATGCAATAAAAAATATGACTAGAATTTTTTTTTGTCCCACAGTGAGGAAATGTCAGTGACAATGTCATTCAACATTACAAGACAGTGGGAGTAATGGGATCTCAAATTAGAAAATAACAAAAAAGGAAAACTAGCTGTAAATTAGGTTCAATATTTACAGAAAAAATAAACACGAAAACTGTATATACTATACTATATAAACATACAAAACTACGATTTCTCAGCACCACCTACTTTTGAGTGTTACATGTCAGGGCAGCAGCAGCACAGAGAGGACGCAGATTACAGCATTTACCTGTCGTCTGAGAAAGTTGAGGTGCTGGTACGTGAGCCAGTCTGATGAGTCTCTTCTGTAAAGCTTAATGATAGTCCGAGTACTGTGGTGGCATCGTGGGACAATTTGAAGTAGTCTCTGCCTCAGACTAGCACCAACCAAACCTGCAGCAGAACAATATTATACATACATTAACATTTGTTTGACAGCCACATCCGTATCATCTATGATCTTATATTGCTCCAACTGCCTCGATATCAACGTTATTAAGGATTCATCTTACTGTGTTACTCCTGTTTAAGGTCAATGCATGCATCTCATAACACAGATCCTATGGTAAGCTAACTAGCATTGTTGTTAGCATCTCCGGGGTTTTTTAATGAAAGCCTGTAATAGTGGCGCGACAACTTTGTGTTAACGCGTAATTTCTGTCGGGTGTTGGAGTGGATTACCTGAAAAACGACTACATGGCGATTTATACATGATTTTGAAGCAGAGCAGCAGCACCGGTCCGACCCCTCACATGCAGCGAGCCGCCATTTTGACCTCCTTGTGCAACCACAATCACTTCCGGGTGTAAATGTAGACGTAAGTTCCATGTGACCGTGTGAAAATAAAATGATAAAAATAAACATTTGAAAAGGAAGATAATAAGAAAAATAAATACATATTGTACATATTTTAGAATAGAGCTATATTTTTAACATTTTAGATATAAGTAAATATATAGAAAAAAATCCTAACTTGCTTTTCTGTGTCATGGTGTTATGAGTAGAACACATACAAAATGTCTTCTTATTCTGTCGGTGCACACAGAGTACCTTTTTTGGAAAATGTATTCCAATGTAGTTTTTATACTGCACATGGCTAATAAATGAATCTGAATCTGAATCTGAAAATAGAATCTTGACTGTACTGTTGCATTGAATCCTATACAATTAGGCTTCAGCTTCCTGTGCTCAAACTCAAATACAAATTATGAAAATGTGCACAATATGTTATAGACATAGATGTAATTGTAATAATAAACTTAAAAAATTTGATATTTTGGAAGTGACTTGAACATATCTATCAATCTATTTATATATCTATCAATATATAGCTATCCATCCATTCATCCTTTCATCTATTCATCTGTCCATCTATCTATTTAAAAGGCATTGTTGATGCAAAACTTTACCGTTAAAATAGAGCGTGCATCTATGAACAATATAATCACTCTCTTCAACTACACTTTGAGTAATTTGACATGGCAGCTTTTCATCTCGGAATCTTGGTCATAGCATATAGGCCCAAAGTGTCTTCAGAAACTTGGTGTAGTGATAAACAATGCACATATGGGTTTCCTCCATCGCAGCACTTTTATTGCTGCAGATAACAGTTATGTGCTTTGCTCTTCTCCATTTCAATCCCCGTGACCCGGTCAACCTCTGCCAGTTAGCTCCGCCATGCAGTAGCTTTATGATGTGAGTTAACCATTCCACTGTTCTGCGATTGCATTACGCTGCATTTCAGGAGGTTTATGGCAGCAGAAGACATTCCTTTGGCCAACATGATACGCTCACGGACTCACCTTTCTGTCAGAATTTCAGTCTTTATTGCAGTTTATACAGTGTGCTTGTGCATGGCCTCTGCAATAAGAGCATATATGTATTTCCTTGGGCACAAAGCTTCATTTTTGTTTCTTTCATGTACATTGTGACTTGGTGTTGGACTTTTTGAGAATATGGGACCTAAACATGCTCCGGGTTTATAATTGTGATATGATTAATGCTAATAAATTACACCAGAATAAGGTGTTTGTATATTGGATTTGTGTTTCTATTCAAAAAGGATTTTGATCTGTTTCTCTGGGTTAGGGTTAGGGTTTTCTAAATGGTGCAATCTTAGAAAAAGTATACCAACAAAATGGGCATTATATTATATGATTATTGACAGTGAGTGGACAATTAATTGCCATTCCAGTGGGTATATTTATCAAGGGTTTGTGTGCAAAAGTGATTAGCATCTCAACATTGGAGTAAACTGATTTATCATAAACGTTGCCTAGAGAGCTCTCAACTAATTTTACTTTTCATGGACTTAAATATGCTAAGAAGAAGTTAGAAGTTTTATGACAGCAGAATGATGTGTTCTGTCATAAAACGTCACAAAGTACTACAATCAAACAGCCAAATATGTAGCAAGCCATCTCTATAAGGACGTTTTCCAGGGGTCAAATATGTTACATCTTATCAGTTTAATTCGCAAAAACAAACAGAAAAGAAAGCGGGCAGTGGAGACAGGGAGCTGGTTGGCAGGCTTGGTGTACAGACCTGAGCACATGACAAAAAAGTTAAGTAAAAAATATACAAAGCAAGTCTAACAAGGAAACCTCACAAGTCAAAGTGGTTCACTAACTTGCAATGTCATGTCATTTTCTATTCCTTTATTAATCAATTTCTGGGTCGGGGGAGTAGCAATCAGAGCTGCAACCCAAGTCTCATAGCACCATTCCCACGCTGATCCTCCTGCAGGTGGTGGGTCCACGGGAAGATGACTCTGTCGCGGCGGCACGGTGGCTGAGTGGATAGCACTCTCGGCTCTCAGCAAGAAGGTCTTGGGTTCGAATCCCGGTCGGACCAGGGCCTTTCTGAGTAGAGTTTGCATGTTCTCCCCGTGTCTGCGTAGGTTTCCTCCGGATACTCCGGTTTCCCCTACCACTAAAAATATGTCCAATAGGCATGTCTGGCATGTGCCTCCTGTACTGGCCCCGCTCCCATCTCTGTGTGGAGTGACAGACAAATGCCCATAATTAACAATTGTAAACCGCTTTGAGACTCAGATCTGCAGTGAAAAGGTTTTTATATAAATAAAGATTACTAAAGATTACTAAAGATTACTCATTGACTAGATGGCCTTGGTCTTTCAGCGGGGGGGGTTCAGGCAATGTGGGGTTAAGTGTCTTGCCCAGGGACACAACGATAGCAGACATCAGTGGGAGCAGGTGACATGGGTTGTGGTGGGCTCGAACCCACGACCATCGGGCCCAAAGACCAGTGCTCTACCTGGATTGACAAATAGATAGATATATTTATAGATACTTTATAACTTTATTGTTCCGTGTAAGTAAGTAATGTTAATTTATAGGAGAGAAAATCAGGTGTCCAGCCGCAGAAACATATCCATCCATGCAAACAAATAAAAACATAATTCTCAAAGTTACTAACATTAGTAATAAAGTCAATCCAGGTAACAGCATTAGAGGTGGAATAGCTGCATTTGCTGGTGATATACCCCCATGTATATACTGTACCTTTAACATCCCCAAATCTTCAGAAAATATTGTAAATTATGAAACAGGAAGGATGGGGTTCAAAATATCTGTCTTGGGTCCAATAACAGGCCATGTGTTGCTAAAAATATGAATTATAAAGCCAAACCAAACACCAGAAGAAGAATCCTCAGATATAACCTTCTTCCTGTAAAAGAGTATAGCCCAGCAGGCCGTGACCAACCATATGTCATCGCCCACGAACAATGTAAGCTTTCTTTGTTTCTCTCTGGGGAGGATGTTTTTACGGCCATTTTTGCTTTTTCAAGACTCAGTGAAAGCCGTGTGGCCAAATAAAAAGCAGCCTCACCTCTCGCTGAGACCACCACTGGTGCAACAATAACTGTAAGGTTGCCATTGAAAGACCCCATGGACTCCCCCCTGCTATTATTGGGCGGCACGGTGGCTGAGTGGATAGCACTCTCGCCTCTCAGCAAGAAGGTCCTGGGTTCGAATCCCGGTCGGACCAGGGCCTTTCTGAGTGGAGTTTGCATGTTCTCCCCGTGTCTGCGTAGGTTTCCTCCGGGTACTCCGGTTTCCCCTACCACTAAAAATATGTCCAATAGGCATGTCTGGCGACCCCGCTCCCATCTCTGTGTGGAGTGAGAGATAAATGCCCATAATTAACAATTGTAAACCGCTTTGAGACTCAGATCTGCAGTGAAAAGGCGGTATATAAATAAAGATTACTTACTACTACTACTACTACTACTATTGTGCTGCGGACACTCTCTCCATCTGCTCCTCTGTCTGTGTCTTCAGGTCAAACATAAGGACAGCAGCCATTAGAAAAGATGTCAAGCTTTTTCTAATCGCTTCAATGGTGCAATTATCTTAACAAGAGAGGCTTCCTGGCTCCAGGTTAAGTCCCGTTTCCACTAATCCTAGAGATCAATAGATGGATTAGATGATGTGGTCGATCCAAAGTGTACTTACAAGAGAGGGTAAACAGTGTTTGAGTTTATAGTACAAGGCCTATGAGAGGCTATCATTGATTTATTAAGGACTTTTAAGCTGTGGTCCTCAGCTTTAAAGAGGAAGTAGGTATTTAGACCACCGGTAACGCCGTTACAAACACTGATAGTACATGTGCAAAGCTGGACAAAACTTTCTAACTCTCAAAAACAGTTGGATCCGTCATTAGTTTCCCCAAGGCATGCATTTTGGGGCCCTGTCAAATTGTTTTTCAACCTTGTTTAATTTATGTACTCGTCTTGTGCACACTGGGGACTTTTGCAATTGTATTCCAATGGGGTTTTACTGCAAATGGCAAATAAAAATGAATCTGAATCATCTTTAAGTTCAGCTTTGTGAAAACACGTGGCCCAACCGCACGCAGCCAATCAAGCTCACAGCCCAAAATGTCAAAGACACATGTACACAAGACAATATGTGTACCTAGAAGACAGCATATTGAAACAAATATGACTTAAGGCCAATTGAGCTTAAAAAGTACAGAATTCATGTATGCCATATTCTCAATATGACAACAATTTTGATTTGAAAAAAAATAAGCATTACTGATTACAATGCAGAGTTTAGGGTTATTGTTTACTTTTCATTTGTGCAAAAATATCTGAACTATTGTACAACATCTGTACGGAAGGGGTGTAGAATAGATCTGAACAAAGTAAACTGTATTGTTTGCCGAAGAAAATGTGTATATTGTGTCTTTATTGAGGACACGATATATCACGGTCAATAGGTACAAAAATATACAATACAAACAGTGTATGTAAATGTACTTTTTTTTATTCCAGTAGGGAACTTTGTCCTCTGCATTTGACCCATCCTGGATTTACCTATTGGGTATTTTATTAGCATTGAATATGGAAAAGAAATATGTATATAAATATAATTATACAGAGATAATTCGTACCTAATATTCAGGAAAACAGCGGTTGTCAGATAAGTTTGAATGGCTTGAATGTCGGAGAATAAAGATGACTCAAATATGCGTGAATCACTTGAAATACAGACTCTGAAAAGAAGGTTTGAAGCAGATTCCCAAAGCTTTCACTCATTCTTTTGTGTACAATTGTTATACAGAACCATTGTGTTTCCAAGTAGCCAGTGCTGGACCTCTATTTTTATCTAAAGAGACAAAAGCAGCGCAGAGAGAAGTGATATTGATGAATGGCTATGCAATTGGTTTACTCTTGTTTAACTG